GTATGAGTATTAAGAATGCATCATATGAATAATTTTGGAGAATATAATTTACAGAGTATTCTGCAAGGGTATATCAACTTCGGCTCCGCCCGAAGTTAGCTTTCTTTTCTTGTTAATATTTATACTATAGTTTTTCATTCCATCAATGACGAAAACTGTATACTCTTTCAGTATGCAGATGATTTCTTTTTAGTGTGTTATGATAGACAGTTTGCAAAAGCTAGAGATATTTTAGAACTTAAAATAATTGCTTTCAATAACTTATGCAATATCAACAATCTTACTTTTAATTCCAATAAATCATCAATCATACATTTCAATAAAAGAAGACAGCCTGCAAACATAGTCTGTGATAATATTGCAATATCAGAAGTAGAAAAAATCAACTATTTAGGTAGAATTATTAAGGCTAATAATTCCTCAGCCAATCATATTGATCAGATTATTTCCAAAGCCAATAAAACTAATATATTTCTGCAAATGCTCAGTGGTTGTCATTTTGGTGTTCACCCAAATAAATCGCTTTTATTTTATAAAGCCTTTGTACGCTCTAAATTAGAGTATTCATGTTCATCATTTGCTAATATTTCTACTGTTGTTTCTAAAAAGATAAAAGTGCATATAAATTTTTATTTGCGACGTGCTCTATGTCATCAACTCCTATAAATATAATTTATAATTTAGCGTCTGAACTCCCCCGGAGTTCAGACAAAAATTTATAACTGCTAAAGAGTTAGCCAAAACTTTTGCATACGATTTACCTGTAGCCTCTTTTGTCTAACTCTTTTATTGCTAACAAGAAAGGAAAGCTAACTTCGGGCGGAGCCGAAGTTGATATACCCTTGCAGAATACTCTGTAAATTATATTCTCCAAAATTATTCATATGATGCATTCTTAATACTCATAAAAAATCCCAACTTTCTAACTTTAAAAACACCAAAGTTATGGCATTTGCAATCGGCAGCTATATGATATAGTCGGCCGATCCTTATGAAATTTGATAGGTCGGATTGATTGTCCAAAAATAAAACGCATAGAAAATCCCAACTTCCTAAAGTAACAAACACCAAAGTTATGGCATTTCCGATCAACCAGTTATATGGCAGCTATAGGATATAGTCGGCCGATCCTTATGAAATTTGGTACGTCGGATTGATTAATCAAAAATAAAAAACCAATAGAAAATCCCAGCTTCCTAACTTTACAAACATCAAAGTTATGGCATTTCCGATTTATATGGCAGCTATAGGATATAGTCGGCCGATCCCGGCCGTTCCGACATATATACTGCGTGCAAAGGAAAGAAGGGTGTGGGCAAAGTTTCAGTTCGATATCTTTAAAACTGATAGACTAGTTTGCGTAGAAACAGACAGACGGACAGACAGACGGACAGACGGACATGGCTATATCAACTCAGGAGGTGATCCTGATCAAGAATATATATACTTTATAGGGTCGGAGATGTCTCCTTCACTGCGTTGCACACTTTTGACCAAAATTATAATACCCTCTGCAAGGGTATAAAAACACAAGCTATGCTAGAATATATTCGGAATTTAAATACATCTTTGACGCCATCGTGCCTTTGGACACAGACTTTTTAAAGTCTCTTGTTTAAATAAAAAATCAGCAAATGCTACCCTAATAAATTCGCTTATCCAGGAAAAAAATTAATTATCTATTGTCCAAAAAATTTTAATTATTTTATACTGACGGCTCTGTAAATGAAAATTTTACAGGTTGCGCTCTTGTTCATAAAAGCTCAGAAGCCATTAAAAGTTTTTTTTACAAACAAAAAATGATCTTCACTCACAGCTGAATTAATCGTCATAGATAAAGCATTGATAACCAATACTTTAAAATTGCTATTTTAACTGATAGTCTCAATGGGGTTTTATCGTTGAAAAAATCTCATCCAGATAACTACATCGCTAAGCGAATCATAAAAAAAAACGAATCCCAACTTCCTTACTTTACAAACACCAAAGTTATCGCATTTCCGATCAATCAGTTATAAGGCAGCTATAGGCTATAGTCGGCCGATCCCGGCCGATCCCGGTCGTTCCGACTTATATACTGCGTGCAAAGGAAAGAAGGGTGTGTGCAAAGTTTCAATTCGATATCTATAAAACTGAGAGACTAGTTCGCGTAGAAACAGACAGACGGATAGACAGGCCAGCCAGCCTTGCGAATCAATGCTTCACGGCAGTCCCGCAAGCCTGGATTTCATATATATATTTATTTGGTCTATGTATGTAATTTATGAATAAAAAAAAAAAAGAATATATATACTTTATAGGGACGGAGATGTCTCCTTCACTGCGTTGCACATTTTTTGACCAAAATTATAATACCCTCTGCAAGGGTATAAAAAGCGATTTTTATTTTAATATATAACGGAGTCTTTATTGGTAAAGTTCTTTTAAGTTAGATCCCCAATCTTAAACTGATTTTACAAAATGCATTATTCTTATAACTAAGGCTTCTACCGGTGACAGCGCGCGATCAGCGAAAGTGGACTTTGATTAGATAATTTTCATTGGTCAAAACTGTGGCCTGATGGGATGGTTTCTAGGCTGCATCTTTTGTTTAATTAATTTGGATTGGCCAAAGTTTTTATGCTGACGAATCGGTTCTCAGGCTGGACCCTTTGTTTAAAGGTCTGAATATTGTTTATGTCTGCCGTCGTCGATAAAGGCGTTTAAAGTGTTTATAATTCGGGTGCCGCCGATCGAAGGCGTGAGAAAGATTTATGTCTGAGGGGTTAAATGTTTATGTCGGATTGATTTGAATAACTGCAATAGTAGGCTCTGGACGTATGTTATTGACAATTGGAATAATGGGTATCTCTGGATATACAGGTTGTATGTTGGGTGTGGAAGCTAGGGTATTTGCGTATACGTCACTTATATACAATCAAATTCACATGGAATGGGAAAATGAATATAATTATACTGCAGCGGAAGGGGTAAAGGTTTCACTCGCCTTTTTCCATATGTTACTTCAAAGCCTTGGTTTAAGGATACAAAATGTGACCTCAATCGGTTAAAAATTAAGCAAATCAACCGTCTGTTGAGCGGTCATGGCTTTGACAAATGCTAACAATAATCTATGCGACACATGCAACGTACCAGAAGATGCATCTCACCTTATTTTTAATTGTCACTAAAGCCTAGTATTCAGATCGACAAACGAGTATGCTAGCGTAAAAACTTTAATCTTTCCAGTGTGACCAACATTTCGAGAGTTCATCAGATTTAAGCGTGCTACGGTCTTACTGTCAATCAGCTCTGTTTCCAAGCAGCTGGGTTCGTTGACAAGCAGTTAAAATTCAAATATCGTATTTGCAGGAAAGAGCCTTTAAAAGATATTATCAAATACCTTGGCAAGACAAGTCTGCCGCTGTACAAAGAAATAAAAAACAAAACAATTTAAATTTAACAGTTGTTTTTTTTTAATTTACTGATAATTATTTGCCAATTTAAAGTTCATAGCTGCACTTTTATTGTGTTTTTTCGTACATTCTTGACCTTAAAAACATTTTGCTCTGACAAGAGGCAACCCAGATAGTATTAATGTTATTTTGTCCTCACATGTAAACTCCTGCAATCGACTTTTGCGAGTCTTTTGAGTTTTTCCCTCCATTTTTTATAATGTTCAGTGAGAGGCGCACGCCAAAAGATTAAATCTTTTCGCTAGGGTTCACCCAAAGTTCATTTCCGCAGATGGAATTTTCTGGTATTTTTTTCGTCGATCTGTGGACCGACGTGAAAAAAAGGGCCGACGAAAAGTGAACGCCAGCTGTTTGCCTCTCGCTCTCTCTCATGACTGGCGTACGGTTATCGTCGATCTGGATACTAGGCTTTACTCATTAAACATCATCACTAAAACTTATCAACATGTTTAATTGAACCAATCATTCGATACTCTTACTCATTAAACATCATCACTAAAATTCATCAACTTGTTTAATACAAACAATCATTCGATATTCATCGCCTACAATTGTTTTCACCACGCACGAGGAGGCCAAATAATTCTCTCAGCTGCTCGAGGTTGAGAGTAACTTAATACCAAAAAAAAAAAAAACAAGAAAGGAAAGCTAACTTCGGGCGGAGCCGAAGTTTATATACCCTTGCAGAATACTCTGTAAATTATATTCTCCAAAATTATTGATATGATGCATTCTTAATACTCATAAAAAATCACAACTTCCTAACTTTAAAAACACCAAAGTTATGGCATTTCCAATCGTTCAGTTATATGACAGCTATAGGATATAGTCGGCCGATCCTTATGAAATATGGTAGATCGGATTGATTGGCCAAATATAAAACCCATAGGAAATCCCAGCTTCCTAACTTTACAAACACCAAAGTTATGGCATTTCCGATCGTTCAGTTATATGGCAGCTATAGGATATAGTCGGCCGATCCTTATGAAATTTGGTAGGTCGGATTGATTGGCCAAATATAAAACCCATAGTAAATCCCAGCTTCCTAACTTTACAAACACCAAAGTTATGGCATTTCCGATCAATCAGTTATATGGCAGCTATAGGATATAGTCGGCCGATCCTTATGAAATTTGGTAGGTCGGATTGATTGGCCAAATATAAAACCCATAGAAAATTTCAACTTCCTAACTTTACAAACACCAAAGTTATGGCATTTCCGATCAATCAGTTATATGGCAGCTATAGGATATAGTCGGCCGATCCCGGCCGTTCCGACATATATACTGCGTGCAAAGGAAAGAAGGGTGTGTGCAAAGTTTCAACTCGATAGCTTTAAAACTGAGAGACTAGTTTGCGTAGAAACAGACAGACGGACAGACGGACAGACGGACATGGCTATATCAACTCAGGAGGTGATCCTGATCAAGAATATATATACTTTATAGGGTCGGAGATGTCTCCTTCACTGCGTTGCACACTTTTGACCAAAATTATAATACCCTCTGCAAGGGTATAAAAACTTGCAAAGCTTGTCCGGCTTTTTTATTTCGCCTTCAACACCCTTACGACTCCGCCGGGATGCGGTAGAGGACGCTGTCCGCCGTTTGCTGACTCCGGGCACAACGACTGCCGGGCTAATTTCCTTGGTGACGGCAATGGCGGCAGTTCCGGCGGTGCCTGTGGCGACGGCGGCGGCAAAGACTGTGGTGGTGGTGGCGAAGACTGTGGCGGCAAAGACTGTGGTGGTGGTGGCGAAGACTGTGGTGGCGGAGACTGCGGCGGCGGCGGTGGCGGTGGCGGTGGCGGTGGCGGCGGTGTTAACTGCGGAGACTGCTGCGGCGGCGGCGATGACTGCTCCTGTGGGTCCGGCTGCGCCCATAATAAGGCCTCTTCGGCCTCTGCCTGGTCCAGCCGTTTCTGCCACTCTCTGGCCGCGGCGGCTGCCCATGCCACCGCCCGCTGGGCGAACACCATCCGCACAACGTCGGAGAAAAACTGTCGAAAAAAATCCGCCGAGAAAATCCGTCGAAGCTCCTCCGGCCTGCCCGACGGCGTCTCGTCGCCCAACCGGATCCGCCCGAATCCGGCTGCGGCCCTCCGGATCCTCCGGAACGACAACCTACAGAGCGATGCCTTCGGTCTCGGCTTCCTGGCCTGCCAGCCGGACGCCGGCCTCATCCTCCGATGCCAACTTGACGTCGGTAATGCGTCCCTCGTCTTCCGTCTCCAGGGCAGGTGACGGGGATCGCAACACCATCGGGGACGCCAGCAGCTGGATTGCGGAACCTCCATTTCGCCGCTGGCTGTTGCCCAGTGCCGCTTCCCCCTACCTCTCCCCTTGACGACTTACTGCTGCAGCTTGCGTTCATTTTGGCGACTTGAATTGAATAGAACCGTCTTGTGCCGGTTTCCGTGCCTCCTTTTTTCCGTTGTCCGCGGTGGCCTTTGGACTCTCCCTTGCTACTGGGCTCCGACGGGTCCTCTCTTCTGTGTGCGTTACCCGGTAACGATATCCGCATCCTATGACCCTCCCTCTCCTGTTCTCCTAATGCATCTGTGTGCGTTCGATACCACGTATCGTCCTCTCCCTCTTTTTGGATGAGGTACTGTGTGCCCCCGCTGAGTTCAGCTTCGCTTTCCGGGTCTGGCCACCAATGCTTTGCGGTTTTAACTGCCTAATGTGGGCGGTTTTTTCCTTGCCTGTATTTCAATGCCGCAAATTGCATATCACTGCCGAATTACAATTTATTATTTTAAACGGCCCATCGTATTTTGGTGCCAATTTCGCCGCAAATCCTTCTGCTGCCTTGGACAGATGGTGTTCTTTGGCCCAGACTGTGTCCCCGATGTTTGGTGTCCATGGGCGTCTACGGAGATTGTGGTGGCGTGCCTGATCCTGCGCTGCCTTTTCCATGTTCCGCCTCACCAGCTCGAAGATTTTCTTCAGCTTCTGTGCGTTTTCGGCCGGAGTTTGAGTTTGCCTTCCGGTGCCGATTGTTTCTTCGTCGTACAGTTGGGTAACCTGGGCTCTCTTCCTTGGGTGACGAAAGCTGGCGAATATCCCGTGGATTCAGCCTCGCTTGTATTCACGGCCAACTGCAATTCTGGCCATTTTTCGTCCCAAGACCTCCGGTCTGCCCCGGTGAATTGGGCGATCATTGTTGGCTCTCTCCATCGGGTTTTCTTGGGGCGTGTATGGGGCCGTGAACTGGTGTCGGACGCCTAACTCACCCAGGAATTTTTTTAACGCCGACGAAATCTCATTAAACATCATCACTAAAATTCATCAACTTGTTTAATACAAACAATCATTCGATATTCATCGCCTACAATTGTTTTCACCACGCACGAGGAGGCCAAATAATTCTCTCAGCTGCTCGAGGTTGAGAGTAACTTAATACAAAAAAAAAAAAAAAAACTTGCAAAGCTTGTCCGGCTTTTTTATTTCGCCTTCAACACCCTTACGACTCCGCCGGGATGCGGTAGCGGACGCTGTCCGCCGTTTGCTGACTCCGGGCACAACGACTGCCGGGCTAATTTCCTTGGTGACGGCAATGGCGGCAGTTCCGGCGGTGCCTGTGGCGACGGCGGCGGCAAAGACTGTGGTGGTGGTGGCGAAGACTGTGGCGGCAAAGACTGTGGTGGTGATGGCGAAGACTGTGGTGGCGGAGACTGCGGCGGCGGCGGTGGCGGTGGCGGTGGCGGTGGCGGTGGCGGTGGCGGTGGCGGTGGCGGTGGCGGTGGCGGTGGCGGCGGTGTTAACTGCGGAGACTGCTGCGGCGGCGGCGATGACTGCTCCTGTGGGTCCGGCTGCGCCCATAATAAGGCCTCTTCGGCCTCTGCCTGGTCCAGCCGTTTCTGCCACTCTCTGGCCGCGGCGGCTGCCCATGCCACCGCCCGCTGGGCGAACACCATCCGCACAACATCGGAGAAAATCTGTCGAAAAAATCCGCCGAGAAAATCCGTCGAAGCTCCTCCGGCCTGCCCGACGGCGTCTCGTCGCCCAACCGGTCCCGCCCGAATCCGGCTGCGGCCCTCCGGATCCTCCGGAACGACAACCTACAGAGCGATGCCTTCGGTCTCGGCTTCCTGGCCTGCCAGCCGGACGCCGGCCTTATCCTCCGATGCCAACTTGACGTCGGTAATGCGTCCCTCGTCTTCCGTCTCCAGGGCAGGTGACGGGGATCGCAACACCATCGGGGACGCCAGCAGCTGGATTGCGGAACCTCCATTTCGCCGCTGGCTGTTGCCCAGTGCCGCTTCCCCCTACCTCTCCCCTTGACGACTTACTGCTGCAGCTTGCGTTCATTTTGGCGACTTGAATTGAATAGAACCGTCTTGTGCCGGTTTCCGTGCCTCCTTTTTCCGTTGTCCGCGGTGGCATTTGGACTCTCCCTTGCTACTGGGCTCCGACGGGTCCTCTCTTCTGTGTGCGTTACCCGGTAACGATATCCGCATCCTATGACCCTCCCTCTCCTGTTCTCCTAATGCATCTCCCTCTTTTTGGATGAGGTACTGTGTGCCCCCGCTGAGTTCAGCTTCGCTTTCCGGGTCTGGCCACCAATGCTTTGCGGTTTTAACTGCCTAATGTGGGCGGTTTTTTCCTTGCCTGTATTTCAATGCCGCAAATTGCATATCACTGCCGAATTACAATTTATTATTTTAAACGGCCCATCGTATTTTGGTGCCAATTTCGCCGCAAATCCTTCTGCTGCCTTGGACAGATGGTGTTCTTTGGCCCAGACTGTGTCCCCGATGTTTGGTGTCCATGGGCGTCGACGGAGATTGTGGTGGCGTGCCTGATCCTGCGCTGCCTTTTCCATGTTCCGCCTCACCAGCTCGAAGATTTTCTTCAGCTTCTGTGCGTTTTCGGCCGGAGTTTGAGTTTGCCTTCCGGTGCCGATTGTTTCTTCGTCGTACAGTTGGGTAACCTGGGCTCTCTTCCTTGGGTGACGAAAGCTGGCGAATATCCCGTGGATTCAGCCTCGCTTGTATTCACGGCCAACTGCAATTCTGGCCATTTTTCGTCCCAAGACCTCCGGTCTGCCCCGGTGAATTGGGCGATCATTGTTGGCTCTCTCCATCGGGTTTTCTTGGGGCGTGTATGGGGCCGTGAACTGGTGTCGGACGCCTAACTCACCCAGGAATTTTTTTAACGCCGACGAAATCTGCGCATACGATGGCCCACGGCTCCTCCGGTACTTGTTAGCATTTTTCCGGCCGCCTGTAGTTGGCTTGGCTTATACCGCAGGCAGCTCTCGCAGTTTTGCACATATTTCCTTATGTCGCGGTGCATTCCCGGCCAATGGTATCTGGCTGCAACCCTGGCGATTGTCTTCCGACTGCCTATGTGACCGGCTGTCGGTAAGTCGTGGTTCTCCGGTTGGGCTCTCGATGCTATTCAACCACTTCAGTGCCATGTGATCCGTTATCACTTTGAAGTGGTAGCCCTCCAAGTATGGCCTTAACTTCTGTATGGCCCACACGATTGCCAGGCATTCCTTCTCAGTCGCTGAGAAATTTCTCTCTGATTCATTCAGGGACCGGCTGGAATACGAGCTCACCCTCTCGTCTTGGTAGGAACTGTGTGTGAGAATAGAATCGATCTGCAGCACAAACGTCTTCGAAAAATCGGGGCACGTTAAGATTGGGTCTGCGATTAACCTGGCCTTGACGGCTTCAAAAGCCTGTTGATGGTTATCTGTCCACTCCCATTTTGTGCTCTTTCGGAGCAGGCTGTTCAACGGTTGGACCAACGTTGCAAAATCTGGCACAAAACGCCTGTACCACGACGCCAGCTCCTTAACGTTAGCCGGGGGTTTTATTAATGCAATAGCCGATACCTTCTATGGGTCTGTTCCGATGCCTTGGTCTGTTACGCGAGCCCCAAGTATTGCAGCTCATTTCTGAAAAACTTGCACTTTTCAGCGTTAACTTTTAGGTGGCTGCCAACCTCCTGAACACTTCCCTTACGTTTTCCATGTGCTCTTCTAGCGTCCGTCCGATGACGATAATGTCGTCCTGATACGCGAAAGCGTACGTGGATCAATGATTCCACTATTGCCACCGACAGTTTCTCCTCCAGCCATCCTCCTCGTCTATCCTTTGCCGGTATCGACGCTCTGTGTCCTGCGCACTCGACTTCGGCCCCGATTCTGGTGAGGAAATTCCATCCCAACACCAGGGCGTCGATCAGTCAGCAGAACGTAAGCCGTTGATTTCGGCATTCCTTAGCCCAGTGATCTGGACCCCCGCCTCTGCGGCAGGCCTGGGTAGGATTCGCTACGTATCCGCCGTGATTGTTTGTTGGTTCGTGGCCGCACGGCGTATTTCTTGGTTGTGCGTCCGGGTCCTCATGGCACCACCTGCACACCGCACCCTGGTCTGTTCTTGGCCTTGGTACTGGATGGCTCTGCACTTGCTACTTACGGGGATTGTCGTCTGCCAGCGCCATCAAGGTGTCCAAATGTCGACATTCGTACGGGCGAATGAACATTCGGAGTGCCGGCGTGCTGCTTTCTTTTATCCTTTCCAGGGTTTCCTTGGTCGACATATTTTAGTGGCCGCATCAGGGTCTGCATGTAAACCATGAAATCTTTAAAACTTTCTCCGTAGGCTTGCTTCCTTTGTCTGACCTGGTCCGCCAGCTTCGCCATGTATTTTCGGGGAAGGAAGTAATTTTGGAAGCTGTAGATAAAGTCTCCCGAGGTCTCCCAGTGCCGATTGTTGGCGATGAACCACTTCAAGGCTCTACCTTGTAGTAGCTCCGGTATTGCTCGTGGGATCAGGTTTATGTCGAGACCGTAAGTCACGACTGACCACTCTACTTGCTCCAAAAATTCCAAGGGCTTGTCGTTTCCGTCGTAGCGGAAATTCAACTCCCGGACTTGCTTGGCTACCTTTGCGTAGTCCTGAGTGTGCGTCCCGGTGCTCTCCTTCCTTTCATGGCTACTCTCCCGCTGACGGCCGATGCTACCAAGTCTTCGATGTCCGGCTACTCTGCCGTCTGGTCTACGAAGTCTCCCAGAGTCTTCCTCATCGACTCGACTGAGCCCTCAAGTTCTACTCCCAGAACTTGGCTCACCTCGTCGAGGACTTCCCCATCTCGGAACTTTTTGTTTTCTTGGTCAGGACATTCACTCTTGTGCGCCAGATGTAACGACCTTATTCTTAGTTTTGTTCCACCAAATTTATATTGAGTGACTGTCCGTGACCAAAGGATAACGCCAGAAAGGATTAGGTTAGTGCTTAAATATAGCCTTATTGCTACTGTTTTGCTGCCCGTTGTCGCTGTCTTCTGCTGCGTTGCTCCTGGCTTGCTGCTGCGTCGCTCCTGGCTTGCCGCTGCGTCGCTCCTGGCTTACTGCTGCGTCGCTCCTAGCCTGCTATTGCGTTGCTTCGGCTTGCTGCTCCGGGTGACTGAGATCGGGACGGCTTCACCAAAACCCTGGTTGTTATGAGACCTCTCTACCGGGGCCGGCAAGGTGTATCGCCTAGCAGGTGAAACCAAGTTTCGCCTTATCGCCTAGCCACCTTTATCGCCTGGCTCCCGGAGTTCAGCCTGGACTTTGTCGGCAAGGTCTATCGCCTAGCAGGTAGAACAAAGTTCTCCCTTATCGTCTAACCACCTTTATCGCCTGACACCGCGCAAGGACTCCCTAAGTTTGATTTGACCCGACCTACCACCGTTGGATCTCAGCGTTGCAGCCTCAGCCTTGTAGACTTGTCGTCGCTCGGCGTCTCGACTTTGCGATCTTGATCTTGGGCACTTCGGTTTCGATTTACTTATTCCGCGTTCACGCACTCGCTCTGATTCTCGCACTCGTACTGTCCCGAGTTGCGCTTGCGCCGTCCTTTTATAGGCGCTGTAGGTGCCGTTATTTCATTCGCCGAGCTCGGGTCCAAGGTTTACTGAAGTACTGGACACGGTGTGTCCTCTTTATCCGGGTCCGAATTCAGCCAATTAACCGTATGACCTCGTTGCCCTTGCCGGGCGCGGGTCTAAGGTCCATCGAGGTACCGTTAATTCACGGTGTGTCCTCTTTAGGTGGGTCCGAAGTCCGCCAATTTACTGTATGATTTCGTTGCCCTTGCCATATGAGGGTCCAAGGTCCGAATATTTCCCGTTTGACCTGGATGCCCTTCATTTCTCGGGCTTTCCCGCCTCCTCCGCTGTTACTAAGCCGATCTCCTGCATCGGGATTTGTGGGGAGTTTAAGACTCCTCACAATTCAAATAAATATGCCACCGGCTGATAGCACATTTTGTCAATTTTGGGTGGCGCTGCGGCTGCCGAAGAACTGTGCCAACATTAAGAGTTAAGAGCAAGTAGCAAATCCACCACGCTATTAGTTATTTCGCTGAAATATGAAATATTTTTAAAAAATGCAGTGCCGTCATAATTAGCACTTACAAATTTTTAGTAACTTCTAAAACAATGGGGCGCCAAATAAGTTTCCCAGTTTGGTGCCGACATATACTGTCCGATAGCTGACGTCTAGCAGGACTCTCAAAAGTTTGGGGGCGTTATAATGGGTTTGGCCAAACTTTAAATAAACTAGCGCAGCGTAGGGATAACTAAAATCTGCATGCTAGATCCCAAAAACTCTAGCTCTTGCAATTGTCAAGATCTCGACGTTCATATTGACCTCGTACTGGACCGCCAGTTGGACAAGGCAAGATCGACTCAATTTCTGATCCTGATTTCTTTTGCTTAACTTTTACAAAATAAAATTAATGACAGAAAATTTGATTTTGGAAAAGAGTGCAGGGTATGTAAGGTCATTTGTATGTTTTTTACTTGCGAAGAAATATGTAAAAGTGGTAAAATAAATAGAGCATGTCCCAACGCAAACCTATGCATTTGTATTTTTTGACGTTAAGTATTTATATTTTTATTTGTTTCCTCACAGTCCACAAGTTTCCTATTATTAAAACTTAAGTAACGAATATACTATAGGTTTTGTCGGTTAGAATAATCATAAATAACATTTAAGGTAAGATAACAATTATACATTTGTTAAAAACATAATTACTAATAAAATTTATAAAATTTTAAAATACCGATAATAATATATTCTTGAAGGTTTTATCTTAAAATTGGATGCGTAATACCACTGAGAGAGTACAGTATTTAGAATTTCAACACATTTATTGGACTATATTGAACCTTAAGAATTTGAGCCTAAGCCTTACTACCTCAAATATTTTAAAATAAAAACTACACTCAGTTTCTACACATTTTGTTAATTTACAAGTCAATATCTAACGTGTCAGAAGTAAGAAGCATGGGCTCACTGTTTCTGTCATCTACTAATGAGGAAAGTGAGTCGTTTATCATAACCGCAGATATATCAACTGAACTATGCTGATCTTCGTCTACTGTACCAAGTGATCTATGGGAAGATGACAGTAGTGGATTGCTATCGCAATGATCAAGCCTACTAAACTCAGAGCTTTGAACTGAGTCAGATAAGCCATGGATATCACGTATACTGGGATGGTGGCAATGATTTGGATGACCCTCGTGTGTAGGTAAATGGTGCTGAATATAGCAAGAAGTACTACAATTTATACTGCAACAATCATCTGCTCCTAAACTAGACTTGTCCCTAAAAAGACCTGATTCAGCTTCCGAGACTTTCTTTGGTTCAAAACTTTCACAATTCAATTGATTTGCAGACGGCGATTGCGGTGCAGATTGCATGTGGCTATGTGAAGACAACATCGGGTCCCCGCCTTGTACTGGGTGCTTGCAATCCTCCATGAGTTCATCGATCTGATTCATTCCCATATTGACATCACTACTGTGTATAACTTGTACCTTTATAAATTAATTACGAAATTAGTATGAAAAATTTATATTTGATTTAAGATTACTTTTTTTTCAACGGGTAGGTCAAAAACTGATCGACGGCTTCGAGAAACGGATGGCGACAGACTTGTACTTTTAAGATATGCGTTAGCTTGAGAAGGCGCTGATACAGATGTTAAATGGTAGTCTGATATAGAAATTCCGTTTGACTTCGCCTGTAATTCCAATTCCTAGAAATAATTATATTTAAAGTTATAGAATCTTCTTGCTTTACTTTTATTTTACCCTTATTCGAGAAACTAGTTTTCGATTTTGCAACTCCACTTGACGTTGACGACACTCATTTTGTCTTAACCGCGTCACCTCATGTTTCAAGCATTTTATATAGTCTACAGAGGACTTCAAGATTGTCCCTTTGTTTGGACGAATATCTCGAACAACTTCGTAAAAGGCATCACTGCCTTTTGGCAAAAGAGTACCAAGCTCTTTGATCCTGTCATTAATATTAAAACGTCGCCTACGCTCAACTGAAATTAATGAAATGTAAGGGTTAACTAATAAAAAAAAAAATGGATTTGGAAAACTTACTCATATTGTGGTTATCCTTCTTTTGCCTGTCTTTTGCCAAGGCATTTATTTCAGCATCAGTTAAATTTTGAGGCTCCTGCTTAATTGAAAGCTCCGAATTGAAGTTCTTATCAAAGTTAAACGAATCATTTTGCAATATATCATCGAAAAGGTCATCTGGCTAAAACCAAAACATTTTGAATTTACAAAAAATAATTTAAATTGGCATAAAAAAGTCTGTAGCCACAGATTAGCATAGTACTCAGATCGACAAACGAGTTCGCTAGCGGAAAAACTTCAATCTTCCCAGTGTGAATGCATTTTCGAGAGTTCATCAGAATTAAGCGTGCTGCGGTCGTACTGTCGATCAGCTGGGTTTGTTGACAAGCAGTTAAAATTCAAAAATCGTATTTGCGGGAGAGGGCCTTTAAAAGATATTATCAACTACCTTGGCAAGACAAGTCTGTACATTTATTGCATAGCGTCGGCAGTCTGGTAAAATTAACTTTGGATGAACGTTCGTTAGGCCCTAGCGAAAAGATTAAAAAATTTTAAAATGTATTTTTTTGGGGTGTCTGTTGTCAGAGCAGAGTGTTTCTTAGGTCAAAAATGGACGGAAAAACACAACAAAAACCCAGAAAAATCGCCTGCAAGAACTTAGGCCTACTATGATCCCTAAATCACCAAATAATTATCAGTAATTAAAAAAAAAACAACTTTTAAATTTAAGTTATATTGTTTTCTAATTTCTTTATATAGTGGCATTCATGTCTTGCCAAAGTAGTTGAGCTGATTGCCAGCTGATTGGCAGTAAGACCATAGCACGCTCACAACTGATGAACTCTCAAAAATGCTATCTCACTGAAAAGATTAAAATTTTCGGCTGGAGAACTCGTTTTTCGATCTGAGTACAAGGCCTAACATTTAAACAACTCCAACGGTTTCACAGAGAGTTGTTCAAGTTGAATGCTATTTCAATAAATTTTTATTAGCTCGTACTAACTTTTAGGAATGTTTAACCAATTATTTTCTGAAGAAACAAATACTTTTTTTGCCCTTGAATAACTCCTTTAAATAATTTAATCAAAATCGGTTGATGCTTTTAAAAATCTGACCATATTTTTAGTGACCCTAAATATACTTACATCGCTGTCAAAAGACGGTAGCTGTAAATAAAAAAAATATTAATTTTTTAAAATAGCACGTCACTTGATTAAAACTTGACTGGCTAACTGGATTTATTTTAAAAAAACTTAGGGTTGTTAAACATAACGCAATTTCGTCAAAAACATAACTGCGTGATGATTAATACACTGCTTTACAGACCATAGCCGCGTGCTTTCAACCCGGGTTTGTAAAATAATCCACAAAAGAAAACTGTTATAAATTTTGAATCAAACCTAAACATTAACACAATAAAATTAATAAATGCTAATGAATGTTTTCCGATAACAACAAAAAGTGAAAGCAGTTAGTGAAGTAATATTGATCGTTTTATCAAAGATAAGTAATAATTCATACAAAAAAGTTCGCCTTTTAAATATAAAAGAGTTCAAAAGAATTGGTAATGTAGTTTTAAATAAGCGCGTTGCAATTTTTAATGCTGCCTACTTGGCCTCTGGAACAGTCGCAAAAATATAATTTATTAAACTACATATTTTATATATATATTATTTATAATTTGTATAACCTCAACTTCTATTTAGCCAGTGTCTACCGAAAACATGTCGAGAACTGTACAGCTGATGTACAGCTCACAAAATAATTTTTAAAAAAATATATCTAATATAAATTAAATTAAGATTCTTGTAAAACAGTTTAAAATTTTTCTCTTTGTAAACTGAGTAGTAAAACCTATTCATCAAGACAGAAATATATAGCTTGAATATCTTTTTATACCCTTGCAGAGGGTATTATAATTTTGGTCAAAAGTGTGCAACGCAGTGAAGGAGACATCTCCGACCCTATAAAGTATTCTTGATCAGGATCGCATCCTGAGTTGATATAAGTATGTCCGTCTGTCTGTTTCTACGCGAACTAAAGATATCGATATCCTATAGCTGTCATATAACTGAACGATCGGAAATTTGGTGTTTGTAAAGTTAGGAAGTTGGGATTTTCTATGGGTTTCATATTTGGCCAATCAATATGACCTACCAAATTTCATAAGAATCGGCCGACTATATCATATAGCTGCCATATAACTGAACGATTGAAAATGCCATAACTTTGATGATTTTAAAGTTAGGAAGTTGGGATTTTTTATGAGTATTAAGAATGCATCATATGAATAGTTTTGGAGAATATAATTTACACAATATTCAGCAAGGGTATATTAACTTCGGCTCCGCCCGAAGTTAGCTTTCCTTTCTTGTTTTACATTAGCTTCTTATTGGAACAATAAAATTTATATTTTTTAAGGCCCGTTCTCTCGTCCTTATAGTAAAAACAGGTTTCAAAGTCTTTAAGTCTCGAAAACCACAAAATGTATGTTAACTTATGATAACAAAGAAGAAAGGTCACAAAAACAAGATAGTGTTCATTTTGTTTAGTGTAAAAAACATGGTTACAGAAAATTTCCAGATATAATTGGAGTATACCAATATAATCAGAGATAAAAATACAGTTTCACAATAAAAAAATTATATTAGTAATTTTTGTTTTAAGTATTAAACTCTTACAAAATTATTATTAATTAATGAGGTATTACTTTTTAAATTTTGAGTCTATAAACATTTTTGCGTTGTCACGTAACTTTAACACTGCATTTCTAGTTCGACATTTTATTTTGGAAGATATCCTTTTTAATTTTTTAAGGTAAAGCCTAGTAGTCAGATCGACGAAATCTGTTCATCAGCTATGAGAGAGAGCGAGATGCAAACAGCTGGCGAACAATTTTCTCCAGGCTCTTTTGTCACCTCCGTACTCAGATAGACGAAAAATACCAGAAAATTTAATAGCGTTGCCAGTCTGGTAAAATGAACTTTGAGTGAACGTTCGTCAGGCCCGAATAGATTAAAAATTTAATTATTTGGGGTGTCTGTTGTCAGAGCAGAGTATTTCTTAGGTCAAAAATGAACGGAAAAACACAACAAAAACCCAGAAAAATCGCCTGTAAGAACTTAGGGCAGCTATGATCTCTAAATTACCAAATAATTATCAGTTATTAAAAAAAACAACTATTCAACTCAAATAATATTGTTTTCTAATTTCTTTGTTATGCGGCAGACATGCCAAAGTAGTTGAGAACATCCTTTCAAGGCTGTTTCCCACAAATAAAATTGTTGAATTTTAACTGCTTGTTAACAATCCCAGCTGATTGACAATACGACCGTAGCGCGCTCAATACTGAAGCATTTCAAAAATTCTGTAACACTGGAAAGATTAAAGTTTTTGGCGAACTCTTTTTTCGATCTGAGTACTAGGCTTAATATTACTCTTAATCGTATGACTGTTTTGTGGTATAGTTTTTTGCCAATTTTGTAGTATTTTTGTGGCTAAATCTTTTATAGAGCTGCTACCTGTTATAAAAATAATGCTTATACTAACCTCCGAAGCACTTGTTGCAACCGAGCTTAAACTTGGCGAAATGGGTGCTGAAGTAGACTGCAACGAGCTTGTTGTACTGCAAAGCCTTATTGAGTTAATAATTCCTGAAGATGCACGCATGGCAGAAGAACTTTGACTTGAATTAGCTTTAGCAAATCCCAACTGGGTGTTTTTTTGTGAAACAACTGATTCTCCAGAAATTTGGTTTATACGTCCCAATAAAATTGGGTCATTGGGATTTATGTTATCACTTCCTTGAAAATTGTCACCAAAATGTGAAATTGTCATTATGTCATCGGAATGCATTGATATTTTGGCAGTAGCAGCTGTGTCACACGCAAAACTGTTAGTACGACCCAACGGAACGCTGACGCTTTTCTCTAAGGATGAACTCTGAAGATTCCCAGTCGACGCAGAGTTATTTGTCAGTTTCATCTACGGTTTTAAAAATATGTATATTAATATCATTTATATTCCAGTCAACTAAATTAAAGGACTTACTTCGCTGTTATGACAGCCCCAAATAGAGGGCTTAAATGATTCGCTAAGATATTGTCTTACTTGATTCTTTTGCTTTTGAATAACGTGATACCTAGTCGGGTTTTCAAGAACTGTACTGACCTGTAATTTATTTTCGTACAATATTTTGTTCAAACCGGATGATATTGTTTACCTGCAGCACTTGGGGTGGCACATCTACGCCAATACTTTGAAGAGGAACTTTAAGTTTAACTCCAGTTGACGAATCAATTAAATTATCCATTTGCACTAATTGTGACATTTGTTCTAAACTAGATGACCCACTGCCACAAGCACTCGTACTACCGCTGTCGATGAATTCAGATTCCATGGATCCCTGTCCACTGCCAAACAATAGATGCATTTTTGGGTCTGGCGAATCCAGTGTCTGTTGCTGTATGATCATTTGTTGTTGTTGTTGATGTTGTTCCCGTTGTAACTGAAGTTTCAGTTGCGTCCGTGAAGTAGGAGTGGCAGTTTTGAATGTCGGTCTGTTAGTTAGAAATTTAAAAGTTTACATTTTTTCAAGTATTTTGCGCAAATTGAAAATAATTCTGTGATAAAAAGGTCAATACCTACCCACCCGAAAGTGGAGGTAAACCCACAATGCGCGGCTCTCTTGTTTCGGCAATGCCAATTTCACCTAAATCAACAATACTCGGATCCATTTCAAGAATCATTTCTAAATCTTTGTCAATACCAACTGTCACCCGAATATTTGTTGTAGCCATAGGCATATATTCACAATCACTTGATCGCGGTACCGATAACGGATATACAACATCAATATTATCAGTTTCAGACGTGGTCGGAGGTTCCTCGCCGACTTCAATAGCCATCAAACTGCACATATTGGGCTGATTGACTACTAAATCTTCATTTTCACTAGTTTCAATATGTGACATCTGTAAGGTCTGAACACGCCTTAGAAAATCTTGAAATTCCAGGACGTGCTTATCTGTAGTTGACGGTACCATCTTTTCCTTGTCCATTCTTACTTCTGTTGCTAAAATATTTTGGCTTGACAACAATGTTTCATCTTTTTTTTCCTCAATTTTGCTTGGAATACTCTTTCTGCTCCAGTAGGAAAACATTTTTTTTAACAATTAAGAAATTGTTCAGACTATTACAAAGACCTTGATCTTGGATCTAGCTAGAAAATGTGAAAACAGGGCCTGTTGTACGCATGCTTTCGCAAAATAATATACACTAATGATGCGAAAAATATAAGGTTCCATAAATTTGGATCTAGTTATAGCTCGCTCTCTAAGACAATGTGCGGTACATAAGTAAGAACTTAAATAAATGGCATATGCAGGCATTAGTTATTTTTCAAACTCTAAAAATAAATATAGAAAAAAAGTATGTTCGTCCTATAGTTTCATTGACAACTTTCTAACTTAATCGTTGAGCGAAAAATACTGCTAAATACATACCACCTCGCAATTTTGTATTCATTTAATACAAATACCAAATACTTTGCATTTATAACAGTAAACAACAAAATTCATATGTGTGCAAGCTTATTTTATACGGAGTACATTTAAATATACCTTTCAGCATACACATATGTACATTTATGTATATAGATTAAACAGGGTGAGATAAAAATCCCTCATAATAACTTACATATAAGTTTCTAGAAATGTTATGATTTATAGTTTATGCGGAGAACAAATTTTAAATTTTTTAAGTGGTAAGATACAAATTGCTCATAATAAGATACAAATTTGTAGAAATTGATAATAATTTATAGCATATGCGGAGAACAAATTTATAATTTAATTTGAGAGGTGAGAAACAAATTTTTTATAATAACATACAAATTTGTAGAAATTAATTTATTTATTTATAATTTATAATTTATAATTTATAATTTATAATTTATAATTTATAATTTATAATTTATAATTTATAATTTATAATTTATAATTTATAATTTATAATTTATAATTTATAATTTATAATTTATAATTTATAATTTATAATTTATAATTTATAATTTATAATTTATAATTTATAATTTATAATTTATAATTTATAATTTATAATTTATAATTTATAATTTATAATTTATAATTTATAATTTATAATTTATAATTTATAATTTATAATTTATAATTTATAATTTATAATTTATAATTTATAATTTATAATTTATAATTTATAATTTATAATTTATAATTTATAATTTATAATTTATAATTTATAATTTATAATTTATAATTTATAATTTATAATTTATAATTTATAATTTATAATTTATAATTTATAATTTATAATTTATAATTTATAATTTATAATTTATAATTTATAATTTATAATTTATAATTTATAATTTATAATTTATAATTTATAATTTATAATTTATAATTTATAATTTATAATTTATAATTTATAATTTATAATTTATAATTTATAATTTATAATTTATAATTTATAATTTATAATTTATAATTTATAATTTATAATTTATAATTTATAATTTATAATTTATAATTTATAATTTATAATTTATAATTTATAATTTATAATTTATAATTTATAATTTATAATTTATAATTTATAATTTATAATTTATAATTTATAATTTATAATTTATAATTTATAATTTATAATTTATAATTTAGGCTCTCCTGAAAAGTTGCCATTTCAAAGTCGGTGAACACGATCCTGCAAAATCTACTAAACGAATCGTTTTGAAATTTTGAACACTTTTTCTTTACCTAAATCCTCAGACACTGAGGATTTATAATTTATAATTTTTTTTTTTCTGAATGCTCAACATTTGAAGAATACTGCGTAAAAATGTTTGATTGATCGGAGTTAAACTTCTGAAGTTATGGACAGTTAAACGTAGGTAAGTTAGCTCGTTTTGTATTCGATTTTCGAGAGTCCAAAACTTTAATAGGCTCTCCTGAAAAGTTGCCATTTCAAAGTCGGTGAACACGATCCTGCAAAATCTACTGACCGAATCGTTTTGAAATTTTGCACACTTTTTCTTTACCTAAATCCTCAGGCACTGACGTCGAGTTTTTTTTACTGATTATTTTTCATTTTATAATAACTAATATATCGAATTTTAGGCTAAAATCACATTTTTGACTTCCGAGTGGTACCAAAAATCCAAAAATTGAATAAAAAAAACTGTAAAAAAATCTTAACTAATAAAAAACTTTTTTTTAATTTTTTCTGATGATCCAGTAACGAGATATGCTGTTCACCGCAAAACCTTTTTTCTTGGAGGCGGCTACGGAGCTTGGCTGTGAACGGCTCATTTATTTTTTTTTTCGATGAAAATTTGTGGAAACATATTTTAAATGTTGCTTTGATACGCTTATAGAATAATTAATCTGACATTAACCTTATCGTGTGACAAAATTCATGAAAATTGGCCTTTTTTTGGCCGAATGAACCATACCCCCGAATCAACTATACCATACCTACTGATTAAATAAAAAATCAGTACAAAGGATATCCGTTTCAATGATTGGACTATCCCAAGTGTAAACGGTTTTTGGGAGTAATCGAGTTCACCCAGCTATCGATAAGAAACTCGTGTTAGTATGCCTGAGCAAATACGTTCTGTAATGTTGTAAGGAATCAAATTGTTCTGGTGAACGCTGCTTTGCTCCCAGATGTGGTGATATTTGTATGAGACATGGATATTTTGTTGATGCTTTCAAGTTAATGCCTACATATAAGTTAATGTATGTTAATATACATATGTTCATAGATACCCAATAACTTTAATGAGCAGTGTACATTTGTATTTCATATATGTAGATATTGATGTACATGTACATATCCCTGAATTTCGGGTTTGCGTTGTTTTTGTATGCGTCTGTACATGCTAACAATCATGCATCCATGGGTATCTACATATGCGCAAACATACATACATATGTACATATGATCGTCTGATAAGATAATAAAATAGCGCTAATCATACTTCAAATAATATCATCGTGCCCGCACACACATATATGTATGTATGTATTTTAATATATCTGTAAACATATGTACACATATCGGTTATGAAAATATAAATTAACATGCGCTTACGCATTGACAACGTACATAGATGGTGCATATGTAGTTAATTTTTTAATCTATACTGTTACAATAAACTTACATTTCATCAGATCGTAAACAGCGAGTTGACGACTTTAATTTGTAGAATTCCACATTTTCAGAACTGCCTGCTACAGTAACATTTGGTAGAAAATCCATATTTTCGTTATCGTTTAGCAGACTTATATTCAAATCGAACTCCATATCAAAGCCCAAATCAATTCCAGACTCCGTCATATTTGCAGTTGAAATGGTTCCTATTCCTATTTAATTTTTTATTTAAAATGTTATATTTTCAACAATTAGTTAATTTTTAACACTTTAACTACTTCTCAAATCCACGCACATATGTATGCACGCGTCATTGCAGCCGTACAGGCGGATCCACAGATGAATACCTAAAATTTCATAACATGTCTAGAGCTTTTAATAGTGGTGAGAAAATGCCAGTAAGTGATCTCAAAAATATCGTGCTTTTAATAGCGGTGAGTATAATGTCAGTAAGTAATCGCAAGCAATATTGTGTATATAAAGTAAACTAAAAACGAGAACGGATGCTAACTTCGGCAAGTCGAAATTTTGATGTCACACTGAAATTTGATGACAGAGTGGACTGCGCGAATAACAGCTATCAATAAGATATGGATCCGAAAAATTTCATAACCATCATTTACGCCAAAAATAGCTACGCGAAATTCTTTGAAAACAATACAATTTTTTTTTAAATTTTACTGATCGTTTGCATGGAAGCTACATATAGGACTACATGTATAGTCGCTTAAAATTTTTTAACCTGAATAGTGTACACATTTCAAAAATTCGAGGTGATAATTTTATGTTGATAGGCGTAGAACTGGTCGTAAGTATGGTAGATATATGCCACCTATTGTCATCCGATTTTGATAAAGCTAAAAATATTGGTTACAAAAATGTAATAATAGTATATTAGACAAATACAGCGAGAAACGATCCAAACGACGAAGACCAAATTTCCTACTCCCGAGGCTGCACACACAATGACATGGATCCCAAGCATTTTATTCTTAAGCCTAGTATCCTGATCGACGAAAACCGTATGCCAGTCATGAGAGAGAGCGAGAGGCAAACAGCTGGCGTTCACTTTTCGTCGGGCCTTTTTTTCACGTCGGTCTCCTGATCGACAAAAAAAAATACCAGAAAATTCCATGGCGTTGCCAGTCTGCGGAAATGAACTTTGGGTGAACCCTAGCGGAAAGATTAAAAAATTTAATCTTTTGGCGTGCGCTTCTCACTGAACATTATAAGAAATGGAGGGAAAAACTCAAAAAACTCACAAAAGTCGATTGCAGGTGTTTACATGTGAGGACAAAATAACATTAATACTATCTGGGGTGCCTCTTGTCAGAGCAAAATGTTTTTTAGGTCCAGAATGTACGAAAAAACACAATAATAGTGCAGCTATGAACTTTAAATTAGCAAATAACTATCAGTAAATTAAAAAAACAACTGTTAAATTTAAATTGTTTTGTTTTTTAATTTCTTTGTACAGTGGCAGACTTGTCTTGCCAAGGTATTTGATAATATTTCTTAAAGGCTCTTTCCCGCAAATACGATATTTGAATTTTAACTGCTTGTCAACAAACCCAGCTGATTGACAGTACGACCGTAGCACGCTTAAATCTGATGAACTCTCCAAATTTTGGTCACACTGGAAAGATTAAAGTTTTTACGCCAGCGTAATCGTTTGTCGATCTGGATACTAGGCTTTAGAATCAAAATAATAATACCTTTTGCAAGGAAATATATGTAAATTTTTTAAAGCATTTCAGTTTTTTACACAAGTTTATAATTACTGGGCTTATAGGTACAATAAATACATAACTCTTTTTTAAAGAAAGATATAGGTATTCAAGATTATGAAAATATTACTTAACCTAATTACATTTCCAAGTCTTACGCTTAGAAGCAGATAGGTGGTACATATGTACATGTTGCTGGGTCCACACTGCCGCCTGGTGTTATTGAGTTAGAATAGTACTCATATCGACGAAAACCGAACGCCAGTCATGAAAGAGAGCGAGAAGCAAACAGCTGGCGTATACTTTTCGTGAAGGTTTTTTTTCACCTCGGTCCTCAGATCGACGAAAAAAATACAAGAAAATTGCTTAGCGTTGCCAGTCTGCGGAAACGAACTTTGAGAGAACCCTAGCGAAAAGATAAAAAAATGTAATCTTTTGGCGTGCGCTTCTCAAACACTTTAAAAAATTGAGGAAAAAAATTAAAAAACCCGCAAAAGTCGATTGCAGGAATTTACATGTGAGGACAAAATAACATTAATACTATCTGTGGTGCCTCTTGTCAGAGCAAAATGTTTCTTTGGTCAAAAATTTACGAAAAAACACAATAAAAGTGCAGCTTTGTATGAGCTTTAATTTAGCAAATAATTATCAGTAAATTAAAAAAAAAACAACTGTTAAATTTAAATTGTATTGTTTTTTAATTTATTTGTACACCGGCAGACTTGTCTTGCCAAGGTAGTTGATATTTCTCAAAAAAGTTCTCTCTGGGTTCCGATTAACAGATTATTCGGAAACCCGAGCTGATTTAATTTGAATGAAATATGAGAATGGTTCACAGAATCAAAGTCCGTACTTCGA